CTTTCTTTAAGTAGTATACATCTCCTGCATTTTGCATTAGTATACAAGCCTTGTTGAAATTTCTTGTTTGTTTTCATACACGAATATCTCGGTTAGCGTCATCTGCAAAACTCTGTGCATTAGGTCACAAATCTTGGACAATTTATTCTCTTGGTTAGATAATTGATTAGCTAAAATTTTAACAAAGCACTTTTCTTGTACATAACTTTCTTTAGGTAGTAGGTTCTCATACACAAGCATTTCCTGTGCTTTGCATTAGAACACAAGCCTTGTTGAAATTTCTTGTTTGTTCTCATAACGAATATCTCGGTCAGCACCATCTGTAAAACTTTATATGCATTAGGTCACAAATCTTGGACAATTTATTTTCTTAATAAAGTTCTATTGGTGCTTTTCTTGTACATAACTTTCTTTGAGTAGTAAGTTCTCATAATAAATAACATCTTCTGCATTAGATTACAACTCTGCATTAGGTCACAAGTCTTGTTAAAAATTCTTGCTTGTTTCATACACAAACATCCAGTTGGCGCCATCTACAAACTCTGTGCATTAGACAATTGACTAATTAAAGTTCTATTGGTGCTTTTCTTGTATATGGTTTTCCTTATATAGGTTCTTCTACACAAACATCTTCTGCATTCCACATAAGATCGCAAGTCTTGTTGAAATTTCTTGTTTTTCACATACACAAACATCCGGTTAGCGCCATCTGCAAAACTCCGTGTATTAGGTCACAAATCTTGAACAAATATTATTAAATTTATTCTCTTGGTTAGACAATTGACTATTGGTGCATTTCTTGTATATACATTTCTCTAAGTAGTAGGTTCTTATATGCAAACAACATCTCCTGCATTAGGTTATAACTCCGCATTAAGTCACAAGTCTTGTTGAAATTTCTTGATATTCTCATATATGAACATCTCGGTTAGCGCCATTTACAAAACTCCGTGTATTAGGTCACAAATATTGGACAAATATTATTAAATTTATTTTTTTGGTTAGACAATTGACTAATTAAAATTTTTAATAAAATAGTGTCATATGATGTCCCCGACTAATACGGTCAGGGGTTTTAAAAAAAAATTTTTTTTTAATAAAAGTTCTATTGGTGTTTTTCTTGTACATATCTTTCTTTAAGTAATAGGTTCTCATGCACAAACGTCTCCTGCATTCCGCATTAGGTCACAAGTCTTGTTGAAATTTCTTGTTTATTTTCATACATGAATATCTCGTTAGCGCTATCTGAAAAACTTCGTAGATTAAGTCACAAATCTTGGACAAATATTATTAAATTTATTCTCGTGGTTAGACAATTGACTAATTAAAATTTTTAATAAAAGTTCTATTGGTGTGAGTAGTAGGTTCTTATCTCCTGCATTAGGTTACACATTAGATACAAGTCTTGTTAAAATTCTGGTTCATTTATGATACACGAACATCTCGGTTAGTGCCATCTGCAAACTCTGTGCATTAGGCCACAAATCTTGAACAAATATTATTAAAGTTATTCTCTTGGTTATACAATTGACTAATTAAAATTTTTATTTTTAATAAAGTTCTATTTTTTTCTTGAGTCATAGGTTCTCATACACAAGCAGCATTTCCTGCATTAGGTTACAATTCCGCATTAGGTCACAAGCCTTGTTAAAATTTCTTGTTTATTCTCATATATAAACATTATGTTTAGCGCCATCTGCAAACTCCGTACATTAGGCCACAAATCTTGGACAAATATTATTAAATTTATTTTCTTGGTTAGACAATTGACTAATTAAAATTTTTAATAAAGTTAATTGGTACTTGTGCATCTTTCTTTGGATAGTAGGTTCTCATACACAAACATCTCCTGCATTCCGCATTAGGTCACAAGTCTTGTTGAAATTTTTTATTTTTTCTCATACACAAATATCTCGGTTAGTGTTATCTGCAATATTACTATTAAATTTATTTTCTTAGTTAGACAATTGACTAATTAAAATTTTTTAATAAAGTTTATTGGAGCTTTTCTTGTAAAGTGCACATTTTCTTTAATAGTAAATGAATAAGTTCTTATACTCAAATTGAAATTTCTTGCTTGTTCTCGTAAACAAACATCTCGGTTAACACCATCTGCATTAGGTCACAAGCCTTATTGAAATCTCTTGTTTGTTCTCATACGGTTAGCGCCATCTACAAAACTCTGGCATTAGGCCACAAATCTTGGACAAATATTATTAAATTATTCTCTTGGTTAGACAATTGACTAATTAAAATAGTTCTATTGGTGCTTTTTTTGTACATCTTTCTTTGTGTATAGGTTCTCATACACAAACATCTCCTGCAGGATATGCATTATTAGATACAAGTTTTGTTGAAATTCTCATACATGAACTTTATAGTTAGTGCATTAGTCTACAAATCTTGGACAAGTATTATTAACTTGGTTAGACAATTGACTAATTAAAATTTTTAATAAAGTTTTATTGATGCTTTCCTTGTATATATTTTTCTTTGTATATAGGTTCTCATACTCAAACATCTTCTGCATTCCGCATTAGGACATTTTCTTTAATAGTAAATAATAGGTTCTTATACTCAAACATCTTTTGCATTAGGTTACAAGTTTTAAACAAATATCATCATTATGTTTCCATCTGTGTTAGGTCACAAGTCTTGTTGAATTTCTTGTTTGTTTATACACAAACATCCAGTTGAAAAAACAACTTTCTACATATTTCTGTATTTAAAAAGAATCTGGTTGTATTGAGTGCCACCTAACTCAGGCAAAAAAAATTATATTCGCAGTAACTCCTAGAAGTCTCAACATTTTACGGTCACATGAAATAGCATATTATGAACTAACCCGGACCAAACTAGAAAAACCTATTAAGCTTTAAATATTTGTTCTTGTCTTATTCAAAGTCAACCTTTTGAAACCAAGATAGAAAACTCCTGCAAAAATTGGTTTAAGAAATTAAGGATTTGTTGAGTCAATTTTATTTTTATGATGATGATTTTCTTGGTAATAAAATTTGAAAGTATTGAAGCTAACCTAAATGTAATATTGTAATCAAACGTAGATATTAAAGAATAATCGAATGTGAAGCGTGAACAGGAAAGTAACTTTATTTTGATTTTCTTTTGAATTAATGTATTATATGGTTACTAATGTTTGTTCTTTTTTTTTTTTTTTTTTTTTGAGGAAAAGCAGGATCTATTTTTGGTAATAAGAAAGTAACTTTAATTTGATTTATTGATTTGAAAATAATATGTGGTTATTAATGTTTTTTTTTCTTTTTCAAAGAAGGTCTTTCTATATTTTTTTCCCAAATCGTGATGTGGAATGGATTGCCATATTGGCCGTTCTGTATTTTTATTTTTCTGAACAAGAAATGTAGGATGGATTGCCGAACCGGCCGTCTTGCATTTATTTTACTGCTCTTAAATGATGAAATTATATTCTGATAAGAGTTTTTTTATATATTTTATTTTTATTTTTTTTATTTTTATTTTGAATATTTTGTATTTAATCTTTATTCTTATATTTAACCTTTGTTTATTAATATTTTTCTTTCTATATTTTTTCTAAACCATGATGTAGAATGAATTGCTATATTGGCCGCTCCATCTTTTATTTGGCCGCCTTATATTTATTACTACTTCTCATTTTTATGTATTTTGATTTTTTTTTCTTTTTCGATGAAGTCTTTTTCCTAGACCGTGTACCGTATTTTTGTTTTTCTGAACAAGAAATGTAGAATAGATTGCTGAACCGGCCATCTTGCATTTATTATTACTGCTCTTAAATGATGAAATTATATTCTAATGAGAGTTTTTTTTATTTTTATTTTGAAAATTTTGTATTTAAATATTAATTATTGTATCAAATTCTTTAAAAAATTATATTTTATTTGCTCGCAAAAATAAGATTTCAATTTACTCTCAGAGGCAACGAATTATTTTAATTGAATTTCGTGAATAACTATCTCCTATTTTGCATTATTAAAATGAAATATGCGTATTTGTGCAATCGATAAATAATAAAGAACTTTAATTATTTTTATTAATTGGATTGTAATTTGGCACTGCTAAAATAGCGCAGATACTTATTGTGAATTTTAAATTAAAAATTGTCAAGGTAGGTTAATGATACCTAATACTGTATATGGAAGTGAGTCAACAAATCGGTAAAATCTAGAGGTATTACCGGGTCTCATCTCTATTATAGCTAAATTACATTTTATTTCACAATACAGTGTAAATCGATTGGTATAATTTTAATACAGAATATAACTAAATAATAATATTACTTATCACGTACTCAAACATGATTGGCTAGCAATCATCTATTATTATGTGACCAATTTAATTGGCTGACTTGTTTGACTCGAGTATTACTCGAGTCAATTTCTGATCCGAATTCGCATAATTTCTGACCCGAGTAAGACTTCTAGTAAAATCATAATTTTGAGAAAAACACACTTAGATAAACAACACAAAATCGAGAGATGTGAACTATAATTTACAATTACAAACTGTAGTTAACTATAGTTTTAAAATAAACAGTTTATTTATATTAATTGTAAATTATAGTTCACATCTTGTAAAATGTGATGTAATCAGTTATTCCATTGAATACTTTAATAGTAGAATAGTTGGATAACCAGAGGATTTAATAGAAAATGAATAATTATTTGGTTCTAATTCTATATTTTACAAAAAGTTTAAGTCAGACTTTAAAAATTCGAGATAAACATGTAGGTTCAAATAGAAACAAATTTAAAATGACCTAATGGAAGTATTTCGTGATACTTTATTTCAAGTAAAATTGGCTTATTTTTTATTTAATAACTGAATGAAATTTCATGAACATAATTGGGTATAATTGGACAGGGATAATTAAATTCAACAATTACGGACTTCTGTAAAGCTCCATCAGATTTAATAAGAATTGACGAAAAATTTAAAGTTTTTATGATAAAAAAAAAATAAAAACAAACATAACTTGAAAGCAGATTTCAAAATTCAAACATTTCTGTATCATAGATATCCTTTTCATCTCTGTTTTTAACTTCAAAATTATTATTTCCATTAACAAATTTGGAGCATTCTCCTTCTTCGTCCTGGATTGTTTCATTTTCTCTGTCTTTGATAAAAGAAAATATGCGATATATTTGAGGAGTTTCTTCGATTTCTGTTTCATCCTAATTACGTTCAACAAATTTATTTGGATTATTTGATGCATTAACAGCATCATTAAAACTCGAATAACGTATTCAAGCATCAATTCTATTTAGTCGTAGAAAATTATCAACTCTATTAAAATCTTTAAGGAAAAATATAATTAGGTAATTTCAGAATAAGAATTAAAAGAAAAAACAAAAAACAAAATTACCAATACTATTTTCTTGACAGTAAGAGGAGATACTTTGAATAATTTGATGATATTTATGTATCTCATTTATTTGTTGTTGAATCATACTTTCATATTGTTCTTCATTATTGCTATATACCCCAGCTGAATGTGAAATGACTATTTTGAAGGCTTTATTTTCCCTCTTTAAGGTTTCATTTTCTTTTATTAAATCGTGATTTTCTTTTTTTAATAAAGTTATTTCGGTTAGAAAATTGGTATCCTTATCATCTAATCTCTTGATTCTTCCTTCTAATCTTATAATTTTAGTAATCATTAATTGTATTTGAAATTTTAAAGCGTCAAGAAATTGGTCATGATTTTTGTATTCTTCGTCTGTCATTTCTTTATTGTAAAGCCGACATTTATAATAATTTCTGGTACTTTCGAAATACTTAAAGAATGCATTTTTAATCTGATCTGGAGTTGATTTAGATGAATTAAGAGTATTAATTAAATGTTTAATATTTGAGTTTTTTCGAGTCATTTTTTTTTTTAGATTCTAAAAAATTAAATTACATTATATATCAAATATTTGTATGAAACTGTTATTTGTTATTAAACTTAATTTGAGCCGATAACGGATCACATCTCTAGTATAACAACGGTTATCAATTTCTTCCATATAGAGTACTTTTTTATATTATGTTTTTGCTGTATGTCGCTTGATATATCTTAATAAAGTCAGATTTATAGTAGTACTATAAATAGTATATATAAACTGGGCTTCATTCTTGAAACTGAAATTGTTTAAAAACCGGCTTGTAAATATATCAATACTGGTTTACAGTAGTGGATAATTCGATAAAGTAAACTTTTATAGATTAATGTAAAAAAGCTATATTTTCACCGTTCATTATTACAAATATTTTTAATATTTCTTTATCCATAAATTAGAAATATGAACTAAAACCAATAGTCTTGTTAGTTATAGTTTCGGATTATGTTATATAAATAAATTTAAGTTCAAAAAATTTAAAATCTGTATCAATTAAATTAACACGTATGCTAAACGTGTTGCTACAACTAGTGATGGGACTTAAAAATTCAAATTTCATGCCTGTGATTCATTTAAAAAAATATATTATTCTTCAAAAATGACAATTAATATTAACTATTTTTCATATCTGATATCGATATTGTATAATTCAATAAAGTTAATATCTTATTCAATTACCATGGTCCCTGTAGACAGTTCAAAATTTTGGTCTTTTTTTAGCTTCTCTCCCATATAAGTTCAGATAACCTATTTTCATTCAATAAAAAGCATTCAATAAAATATTAATAATTTTATATTATAGTAAAGTCATGTGTTATTTGTATTAATATTACTCGGTAAATATTATTTATGTAAACTATTTTTACAATAAAACGCGTACTGATTTTAAATTAGAATACTATGTGATTTATATTGCTAAATAATGAGTTTATTTATGAAAATTCAGGTTTCATACCTGAATTAAATGTTTATAATTAAGAATTACCTATTTTTCATATTGTTAGTCCCATCATTAAATAATATATTGTCACTTCGATTAACTAGTTTTTTTTTAATATTCACAGTACCATATTTAAACTATATATATTAAAACGCATTGAGAATGAATTAAAACAGGTTTTTTAGATTAATTTATAAATATCTGTAAAATATACAATTTTTTCATTATATAAAATTTATTGAAAAAATTAGAGTATTTTTTAGGGGAATTTACAAATAAGGGCCCAAAAAGTAAACCAATTATATATAAGGACCCTATTTTAGAAATTTTATTATATCTCATGATACAGTGAATGAAATTTAATGATTTTGATACTATTCGAATCGTCTTGTCAAGACGGATCGAATGATACTGAAATTGCTAGATTTAAATTGCTGGATTACAAGCTATTTAGCATTTTCTAAAATTGGTTTAAATTGTGATATATCATTATCCAGTGACTTAAATTTAGCAATTTTAGTACTATTCGATCTGCCTAATGAGACGATTTGAATGCTATCAAAATCATTAAATTTTATTCACTGTATCATGAGATATAGTAAAATTTTCTAAAATAGGGCCCTTATATGTAATTATTTTAACTTTTTGGGCCCTTATTTGTAAATTCTCCTATTTTTTAATTAGTACCATATTTGGTTCAAATACATAACTTATACGTAGTATATTTTCAATAGGTCACATTTTAACAAAATTAAGTAGCTTGCTTATATGATAATTATGAATAAGTACTCATTTTTATTGTACATATGTTGTACATGCATAAATTTGCTTATAACAACTAGGTGCTTGAGTTGTTAAAGGGAGTTAGAATAAAGGATGCTATTACAGTATGATTCCCTGAAAGTTATATCCCCACCAACTTATTCCATCGACACCATATATTCGACATTACATTCTTTTAACAATCGTTTCCTTATACAAAACATTTTCCAACAATTATTTATCTGATATAATAGTTTTAACCAATGTTAGCTCTAAGTCAGGCCAACTCTAATGCTAGATCGGGTTAATTTTATGTCAAGGAAATGGTTGTTGCAGAAATGTATTGTCTAAGAAAAGGATTGTTAAAAAAATATAATGTTGAATATATATCTTGTCGAAAAAGTGTGCTGTAGATGAAATAGCAAGTCAGCATTATAGTGTCAGGAGAATGAGTTGGCGGGATGTAACTTTCAGGAAATTGAACAGCAACCCTAGCATGATACTGTAATTACTATATGTGATTGAGGCATTAGCGTTATCGTGATTTCTTAATAGTATGTAGATAAGTTCAAGTTGGTTTGCATTGGAATTAATATAATTTTATTATAGATTTCTACAGAAATTATGCTACAGAACTTACTTGGCATTCCAGTAGCCAGTTTGTATTAGATTATTATAATTTCTATTGTGAGTTGCTGTAAATAATTTCATATAGAATATGCTATTCGGTGACTACTATAGTTAGTTAAAGTTGGATTAGTTTGAATTGGAATTATTATAATTTTTATTATGATTTACAGTAAAAAAGTTTATTAGAGAACTTACTCACTATTCCAATGACTACAATATATGGTCAAGTTTGAGTTATTTTATTTTGGGATGTCATACTTTTTATCTGTTGCAGAATTTCCTTGATATTCTGATGACTACAATAAGTGCTTAAGGTGTGTTAATTTGTTTGCAATGAGATTAACATTTATTCAAAAGTTACTAAAAAAATTCTGTTATAAAACTAACTGTTCTGGTTAAATGATTTTAGATTAGAATATTAAGATTTTTATCATGAGTTATTGTAAATAAAATCCTATTACTAAATTTATAATGACTATAATATGCAGTTAAGTTTGTGTTAGTTTGCATTTAAATTGCTATGATTTTTTATTGTTAATAATTTTTTACAGAACCTACTATTTCAGTAACTATAATATGCATTAGTTTGTATTAAAACTGTTATATATCCTATTGTGTGTTACATATTATAAATAATTTTATTACAAAAGTTATTCGCTATTTATTGTTAAGATGAGTTAATCTATGTATTAGATAGTATTATGAGTTATGTAAAAAATTTTGGCATAGTACTTACTCACTATTTCAGTGACCACCAAGAATAAATTAGTTTGCATTGAAGTAACATGATTTATTTAGTATAAACAGAATTTTGTTACAAATCTTATTCATCGTTCTTATAAAGCTAGAGAAAACTATACTCATATAATCACAGATTAAACCAATTCAAAGCTTTTCGTGATAGTGCTACACTATATATATTTGTCCATTGAGCAGCGAAAGAATCAAGCACTGCTGATTATCTCATTCTCACTTACCAATTTTACCCAAATTTATAATATATTTGCAAAATATTAAGATTACTTGTTTGATTTAATCTTTATAAAATAGTATTTTTTTTTTTTTTGGAATTGGGATTTGTCCAGGTTTTGCCAGAAAGTATATCTACAAAGTGAATTATGTAAATATCCATCGTACTAACAGTAATATGTAATACTTAACAATTAATTCTTTGGTTATAATTTTACTTCAAAACAAACATCGATTTGATAAATATTTTAATTTTCCTATAATTGTAAAATTATATATAAATCTTTATTCTAGGTTGAGAGTTATGATCATATAATATAACGGACTATGGGCCATATCTATTATATTATATGATGCTATTGCATTTAAGATTAAGAGCATGTTATCGTCTAAAATGTTTTTGAATTTAGAGCAAATCAATAGAAATAAAATAAAATAAAATTTTGTAAAGTTTAGATAAGTAGTTATCGAGATATTACTATTCAAATTTTGAAAAAAGCTTGGCCTAGATCGATTTCATCTAATTCCCTAATGCTAAAATGAATATTTTAGTAATTTCAGTAGTCAATTACTGAAATTAACAAAATGCCAATCATACGGGCCAAATTTAAATTTTATGATTATCAATATCTGATTTCCAATCAAAAAACCCAGTGACATCTTCATGATAATCACATCACATAATTAAGTGTTTAGCCTATGTTAATGTTAGCAGTGATATAAATTGGATCGGCACTGTAGACGCAGCACACATAGATTTAAATTTGCATATATATCAGTGCTCCCATTATATATAACATGCGTATAAATTTTTCTTTGTACATATTTTTTTGCATTTGCGCCAATAAAAATTTTTTGAATTTATAACACTGGTTAGGTGATAGGGCATTTACTAATCCCCAAGTTTTGATTGGCTGGGATTATTCTGCTAATTTACATAACACCTGATTAAAATGTGACACCTCAGTTAGGGGATAATCAGAATATATTTTAACCACCTCACAACATCTACGTAGTGTTAACAAATTAAAATAGATATAGCGCGTGCTTGCATTTTATTATATTTGAATTCGGAAAATTAAAAATAAGAGAATTAAGTAATTGTAAAATTTAATATTAAACAAATTTAGGTTAGTTACGAACCTGATAAAAGTTGTATAGCTAAATTATTACAGAAAAGGGCCAGCCATATATTTTGGCTAAAGAATAAGAGTGTTTCCTGGAATATTCAAAAACTACACGGAGGTCTTTAAATTAGGTAAACTTACAGAGTTAGAATCGTAAGTTTTCCATTATCTAAAACTTTTGTGACTTTTACTACTCGGGTGACCCAGTTTAGGATTTTTGTGACGGGTCGGAACACTTCTAGCACCTAAAAGGGTAATGTATCGAATCTGATTGGTTACTTAATGAAAATCGACTAAGTCGATTTTTTGATAAAATCAACTAATGCGAAATCGACTACAAACACAACTACTCTCAATAATATTTATATATTGTAATTAAAAAAAATTTTTATTAAATACGCGAAATAAAATAAATGTTAACACTTGTTTGGAAATTGACTACAAACACAACTATTCTCAGTAATATTTCTATATTGTAATCTTAAAAAGTTTTTTGTTAAATATGCGAATTAAAATAAATGTTAAAACTTGTTTATAAAGTTCCTTTTATTGAACTAATCTGCATTTTTTAGAAATATTATGCTTGATATCGATACAAATTAATTCTTATAGCATTTTAGATATTACAACCATTATTAAGAGAACTAAAAAATTATTTATGTGGAGTAGAAGGTGTTTCACCAATGACCTTTTTTAGATATTCTAGAGGTGTTTCAAAATTTTCAGATTTTTCAACATTAATTTGATCTATGATCTTTTGAATTTTTTCTATCACTTTCAAGTTCATTTGAAAAATGTCTTAAAAATTTAATCAAATCAATGAAGAAAATAATGATATTGTAAAAATAATATTTATTACTATTGATATTAACCTCAATCTGTAAAAATATCTCTAATGTGCTTGCCATATCATGATTTATATTTGAGATCGGAATTGAAACGGGATAAGAATTTAGATATGTAATGAAATGAATCTTGGTTTCTTCACATATTTGGTATATCATTAAATTAAGCTTTCTATCTAAAATTAATAATGATATTATAATACATTCAACTAAAACAAATTTATTGAGTTACATACCAGATGAAAATAGCCCAATCCATCGAAACTCACAAAACAATTTCTTTAATTCTTTAGTAACCTTTTTACATTTTTTGGCCCAGTATAAAATAAAGCTATTTGCAGCATCATTAAGCATTCTGCATAGTTTATTGTAATCACTGCCTTGATGTTTGTTTAGACGTTTTGCTTCACATATTAGGAGGTATAATTTTATACCAGTCTCTGGAGAGTATGTTATAGCTGTGTCAACTTTTCGGCTATACACACGAAAAAGTGTGACACCTTGTTCATTGGCCATATCAAAAGATAATAATTTGTGTTTATCATTTGGAAATTGTTCTGAATAAGTTCTTATTTGGCAAATTTCATTTACATGGGTAATTA